GGCACCCAGTGCATCCCGAATGCCCACCTGATGCGAGGCACAGCACACAGCGTCAGCACAGGTGTCATGAGCCCTTTACAGACAGCAGCTGCACTAAAATATTAGTGGCAATGCTGGGATTCCGAAGCCAGGTGTGGCGACACACACACACGTAACCCCAGAACAGGGGAGGCAGAGGCAGGGGGACCACCTCAAATTGGAGCCAGCCTGGGCTACACAGTGAGTTCAAGGTCAGCCTGCAGGCCAAATTGGGCATCCTGGCAAAGGCAGGATACAGCTGGGGAGGGGAGGCTGGGGGGAGCTGGGCTGGGAAAGCAGAGAGGGTGGGGTGGGGAAGGGAGGTGGGCAAGAGGTGGGGTCCATGGGGTCTGGGGAGGGTTCCCCTGTGCTGGCTGACAAGCAGGGGTGTGAGCGCCTCAGTTTGGAAGTGCTCCAGTCCCGTGAAACTTCTCCAGCAGGTGGGGCCAGACTCACCCCTCCCCATTCCTCCTATAAATCCTGGGCCTGGCCGTGGTTTGGGAGAGACCCCTGTGGCAGAGGAGAACATCCGTCCTCCCTGCAGAGTCCTGTCTGATTGCTTTTCTCTATGGTCTTCCTGATGGCAGGAAACAGGAGCCCAAGGAGGTGGGATGCCCCCAAATACACACCCAACACAAGAGACAGTGATATGACCAAGATTCAGCAAATTTGAAAGGTCTGAGACTGTGGATGTTGTTACCAGGCACGCTGCTTTGCAGTACACACTGTTAATTAATTTTTTTGTTTTTATTTTTTTGAGATAGAGTCCGGTCTTGAATTCACAGTGATTCTCCTGCCTCAGCCTCCTGTGTGCTGGGATTACAGGTGAGTGCCACCATGCCCAGCTCAGCCCCCATATAATCTTAGGAGACCATTGTCATAGAACTGTGTAGTCATACAAAATGTCACATGGCACCTGACGAGTCACACACTGTAGAACAATGTTTCAGCGGTGGAAGAATTTTTGGAAACCTAACCTAAGCTAATTATGGTGGAAAACTACTTGCCAGAACAAATCTTCTATGGAGAGGAAAACTCCCTGAACTGGAGATGGATGCTTTGTGAGGACTGTCATCCATGAGGAGGCCAAGTCTGTACCAGGTTTCGGGTTTTTAAGGACAGGTCAGCAGCCTTATTTGGCAGCAATGATTTTTCGGAGGCAGGATCTCACTATATATCCCAGGCTGGCCTCACACTAGTGGTGATCCTCCTGCCTCAGCCTCCAGAGTGCTGGGATTAGAGGTATACTCGGCATTTTCATTTTATTTTTGAGACAGGTTCTCACTATGTAGCTCAGACTGGCCTTGAGTTCACTATGTAGCCCAGGCTGGCCTTGAACTTGCAGCAATCCTCCTGCCTCAGCCTCCCGAGTGCTGGGACTACAGGCGTGCGCCACCATGCCTGACTGGCTTTACATATGCTATGCATGGCTCTGGGTGACAGACAGGTGAGTAAGCAAGCAGGCAGATAGCAGATGGACATAAGTGTGTTTGTGGAACTGGCTCATTGTGGTAAATCCGCAGTTCACAGAGGGGACGGCAGCTGAAGACCCGGCCGCGGTCAGATCTTTCCCAGAGGCCCTTGACTGATGGAACAGAGCTAACCCTAACCCAGAGGATAACCAGCCTGCGCCTCAGCTGACTGAAATGTCATCTCATCTTTAAGCCCTGCTTTCACCGAGGCCTTTGGAACATCTGAGCCAGTGTCTGGCACTGTGGCTGGCCCGAGTTGGCTCAGGCAGTGGCCGTCACAGCTCCTTTTGCGCGCGATGACTTCGTTGTGCCCGAGTCCCCTCCCCTTTCCTCCCCTTCCCTCCCCTCCCCAAGGGCGGGGCGCCTTTCTTCTCTCCTCCCAGGCTGGGGCAGCGGGCCTCTCAGGGCACCGTCCAGGGCTTCGGTGGTGAACAGGACGGGAAGGGCGCCCAGAGGCCCTCAGACCTGAGGCCGGCCGTTTGGAGCGCCTCCCGCCCCAGTCCTGTCCCCACCGCCACGTACGGGAAGGGCGCCCGGGGGCCCTCAGACCTGAGGCCGGCCGTTTGGAGCGCCTCCCGCCCCAGTCCTGTCCCCACCGCCGGGACTTCAATGACCGGCCCTGGCTCGGCCCGCCTTGCTTCTTGCCCGGGGTGCGAGGCCCCTGCCTAGTCACTAGGGGGCGTCCTGAGGCTCCCCAGCCTGCTCCTCCACCTCACCCGGCCAGGCGGTTCAGACCCAGCATGGAAGGGGTCAGCGCCCTCCTTCAGCACAGCGCTGCCTGTCCTCTCCGTCCCTCCGAGGTGGCCGAGTGCCCGGGACCAAGGGCTGCCCGGATGCCCCGGGGGCTCGGAGCCCGACACCCATGAGATCATTGGCTGGGCTGGGGTGGCCTGTGCTCTTTACCCTCCGCTACCGCAGCATCCAGGCAGTCACTCCACAAGCCCTGGAGACCCCTGGCCGGGTGTCAGGCAGCCACAGCACCCGGCGTCTTCCTCCAGCGTCCTCTCCCACCCTCATCTGCACAGTACACCGTGTGAGGGGCGGAAATCATTCAAAGGGACCAGAAAACAGGAACGCAGTGATTTCGGCCTTACACGTCCCAGAGAATGCAGGGTGTGGTGTGCACGCCTGTAATCCTAGCACTCAGAGAGACTGAGGCAGGAGGATCGCTGCAAATTTGAGGCCTGCCCGGGCTACACAGTGAGACTGCCTCAAAACGAAACAAAGTGACGGCCGGGGATTCGGCTCAGTGGTTCTGCCGCCTGCCTCGGAAGTGCAAGGGCCTGAGTTCGATCCGGGTTCCAAAAACAAAACAAAAAAATGAATAAACAAACAACAAGCAAATGAACAAAGCAGAAAGCAAGCAGACAGAAAGTCCAACAGCAGATAGCTGGCAGATTAGTTGTTCTATTCTTATGCTACAAAATTCAGAACAGTAAAGGTGACGTCACAGGAGATGAATTATCCCCAACGCTTTCTTGGCTGCTGGGGGTAAGATGTGTTGTGGTCATCTGTGGAACCAAGTCCCGGCCTCCGAGAGAGTCCTGGTGTCGCCTCCTGGGGTGACCTGAGTGTGAAAGCGACCGACAGGACAGGGACAGTGTGAGGGAGGCGGAGAGCTGGGGGGGTCACTGGGGTCTCAGAACAAACGCATTCCGCGGGGTCACGTTTGACAGTGGCGCTGCTCCTCATAATTGTGTAGACTGGAGGCAGCCAGGGTGGTGCGTTGGACTGGAAAAAAACATGAGGAGGCAAGCCCTGGACCTGGGGACACTGTAATGTCTTCACGGGCAGTCTGCACACTCACGGTTGTCTCCCCGGCTGTCCTACTTCTTCACTGACAAATCTCGACACTTCCTATGGTTCCGTGACTTTCACAACTCATGTTTTAATCGACGGTTTGTATAACCAGAGCTCTGCAAAAAAAAAAAATGTCTTCCCAGCCCCCACCACCACGATCTGATGCCGGGGTCTTGGGGGGACAAGGATGCTGGCCGCATCAGATCACTCAGATGCCTGGGTAGGAAGGAGGTGAGATGGGAGGGGCCCAGAGGCCAGGGGAGTGTGGACGTGTTCAGTGTGTGTCATGGGGCAGGGCAGAGGGGAGCAAGGGACACCAGGGTGCTTGAGGCTGGGAGGCCAGCAGGGGTCCTAAGCGGAGGGCTGGTGAGGCAGTGAGCAGAGCTGGCTGTGGAGCCCCAGGGCCTCTACCCCAGGCTGAGGCAGGGCGGACGTCCCCGGGACCCTGCTGGCTGAAGAATGAAGACGTGAAGGCCAGCTCTCGTCAACACGGCCACCCCACGCCTGGTGTGGCTCACTCACAGGACCTGTCGCGAGTCCCTCTGCAGGCAGGAGGCTCTGCAGGCTCTGGCTCAGAGCCAGGCCTTATGGGGAGAGGAGGAGATGAGGCGGAGAGATGAGAAACCCGGGGCTCAGCTCCCAGGAGAGGGGCTTGTGGTCCTGACCCGGGGACGAGGCCTGCACTTGGGGGTGCGGAGGGGTCACGGAGCGTGGTCGGAATTTGCCTCTAACCTCAGGACTGAGGGCACCCAGCTCCGGGGTTCAGGGGACAACGTTCACCTGTGGTCCCCAGAAATCTGTTGGCACTGAGTGGTGACCTAGTGGTGGGGCCTTGCCCAGCCACAGAGGAGGCACGAGCTGGCACGCTGCCCGGCACACTACTATGGTGCAGGAAAAATGTCACCCTCAGCTGAGCAGCCAGCTTGCCCCATGGGGACGTGCGGGTCCCCTGGCCCAGGGCCCAGTGGGGATGTCGAGCCTGCGGTGGCACTGTGGCTAGTCCTGTCCTGAGCCCTCAGGCAGGGAAGGACTAGCACTGCTTATAGAAATGGTCGCCCCTACGAAATGTGTTCCATGGAGCCATACAGCTGGCCCTGGGCTCTTGGTGTCCTGATGGGGCTGGGCAGCCAGGCTGAGGTGTCTGGAGGCCTCCGGGGTAGGGGTAGGTAGGGGGTAGGGGTGGGTGGACTG